GGGGGTGTGTCTGCTGGATAAATATGTGCGGTTATGATAATGATGATTATAATGACAGTAAAGAGGAGGAGGAGGAGGAGGAGGAGTGATTATATAATAGTTTGATCGGAAAAGAAACTGTGAGGCAGTGTGTGTGTGTGTGTGTGTGTGTGTGTGTGTGTGTGACATAATTTCATCATAATCTCAGGTTTTTTACCGACAGCCTGTCGTAGCTGCTTCTCATCAACAGATTTGTGAATTAAACTGAGGAAAAGTTCATAAAAAAGATTTAAAACGTGGATTATTGTTGAGAGTGTGAACAGAAAGTGAGCAGAGCTTCGTAGGAAACGAAAGTGAACCAGTTGTCAATCTGCTGGGGCTGGGCTTCAGCTCCATTATTAAATAGTTAGTGATAGTTATAATAGTTAGGAAAGTGAACTGAACTGAACTGAACCACTGCACCAAACCAAATGTGACAGAATTTGACCCATCACCAAAGTGACCAGTGGGGGGGCACTGTGTGTGGATTCGAACCTGCAACCGTCCAGACCCAAGGCTGCTTCCTTAACCACTAAGCCCCCACTGCCCAGCAGTTGTATAGTAATAGTTAGTATAGTTATAGTAATAGTTAGTTCTCCATTTGTTCCTCCTGCACTTTAATTATTTGTACTGATTTTAAAAATGGTCACGAAGGAGGAACTGTAACAACAACAGGATCTTCCTGGGGAGAAATTAAAGTATTTGATCCTGGTCCTGGTCCTGGTCCTGGTCCTGGTCCTGGTCCTGGTCCTGGTCCTGGTCCTGGTCCTGGTCCTGAAACCCAACAGTTTTGTCATCCTGACCCCAGTCCTCTGTGTTTTTGTGCAGTGGTGGCTCAGTGGTTAAGGAAGTGGACTTGGATCCAGAAGGTTCCAGGTTCAAGTCCACCAGCTGCCACTGAAGTCCTCTGAGTAAGGCACCGTCCCACCACACTGCCCCCTGCTGACTGTGGTGGTGGGTTAAAAACAGAGGTCAGATTTAGGTGTGTGCGGTGGTGCGGTGGTGCAGTGGTTAGTTCACTTTCCTTTTCTTGTTTTAATCCCAGCCGTGATGACATGGTTCCAGTCAAACTGTGTAACTAGATCAAGTGTCTTGACCTAAATATTTTAATGTGATATAATTAACGTCGAGGAGGAAATACTTCTCACCTGCGTCACTGACGATTCTCCGTCAACCAGGAACTGGAGAACAGAACCAGAACCAGAACCAGAGAACCCAGATCCCGGTTCTTGGCGTCAACCAGGAACTGGAGAACAGAACCCAGAGCAGAACCAGAACCAGAACCAGAACCAGAGAACCCAGATCCCGGTTCTTGGTCCGTTCTTGTTCCTCGTCTCAGTCACAGTCAACAGATTTATTACTGTTTTTATTTGAATCTCTCTGCAGTTCAAACTCTGACTCTGACTGTTGTTGTACTTCAACACCGTGATCACAGTGAAAACAACACCGTCGCTGTGGTGGTTTGGCCCGACAGGTTTGACCTGTGGCTACTGGCCCACAGTCCTGTGTGTGAAGTAGGTCACCAGATCTGGTGATTACAGCAACACAACTGGAATATCTGCCTCTAATTAAAGTCTCTTCACTTCAGTCACTGACATTTGACATGAGTCACCACTGACTGGGCGTCTGTTGACTCCTCCTCACTAACTGAGGCCTTGGAGAATTAATTACTAAAGTAATAAAAAATAAAACCATCATTTGGATCAGTCTCAAATAAAAACAGGTGAGAAACACTGCCACCTACCGGCTGATGTTCAGGTGATTAAACATCAAACTGGTTTAACTGACTTCACTAACTGTTCATATATTAACCAACAAACTCTAACCCAGAGAGGAGCAGCAGACTTGCTGTTGGAGTGTGCCCTCTACTGGACAGACAGGCCAACACACCCAACACGGTTAGGTCACTAGGGTCAACCACAGCCAAACTTACCATCTCCTTCTGACAGATCAGCCAATCAGAGTCAAGCTCTGGACGGAGCTCTGTTGGGACATGTCCCTCAGGACCTGATGGTGACAGGTACAAGTCCCAACCTGCCCCGTCATTCACTTCATTCACAGACATCGCCCCCTATCCCCCCCCTCCCCCCACAACAACGGTCTACTTCCTTTGAAAATTCAAATAAATGTTAATAAATGTAGCGTAAAGATAAACGATGTCATGAAATCACTTGACGACAGAACGATCTTCACTGGATTTCACTGGAACTGTTACTGTGGAACTGGAACTGTTACTGTGGAACTGTTACTGTGGAGCTGGAACTGTTACTGTGGAGCTGGAATGGAACTGTTAAAAGATGAACGATGTCATGAAATCACTTGACGACAGAACGATCTTCACTGGATTTCACTGGAACTGTTACTGTGGAACTGGAACTGTTACTGTGGAGCGCAGATGAACGAGGACTGAACTCAGAGAGGAGTCTGGGCCTGTTTAGTTGAACACGACACTGATCTACTCACCGGAATTGAAGAAAGACACTAAAAGATATTCTTCGGCTCCATGTCACTCTCTTTTTTAGGTGTTATCGCCCTCTAGTGGAAGAGTAATTGTTCTTCCTGTCACTGACAAATAAAGACAAATTATTTGAAGAAAAATAAATAACAGTTTTAACACAAATTCAGTGGAATTTGGTCATTTCCCAGAATGCACCTGACAATTGGAGGCAGTGGTGGCCTAGTGGTAAAGGAAGCGGACTTCGGTCCGGAAGGCCCCAGGTTCGAATCCACCAACTGCCAGGTTGCCACTGAGATGCACTGAGCATGGCATCGTCCTCAAGCACTGCTCCCCGGGCGCCGACCATGGCTGCCCACTGTTCTGTTATTTATACTGTTTTATAACTGTTTCATTGTGCATGGTGTGCTGTGCTGTGCTATGTCACAAATGATAAATAAAGACAAGTTAAAAAAAAAAAAACAATGATGCAGTTGTTGGAAATCACTGCTAAAATCACTGTATTTCACTTCTGTTGTGAACATAATGTTGAAGAATCTTTTTCTGTCACTGGTATCAACCAGATACGATTATAAAGTTTTTATAATCGTAACATCACTTTTATTATGTTAATATTTAATTTAGACAAATTTCTGATTTTATTTCCTTCACCTTGATACAAGGCTTTTTTTTTAATTAATGAATTTTTACAGTATCTAACTTCTCCAGAGGCCTGGTCAACAATAGAGGGTCCGTGGACCCGTCCATGAACGACCCACAGTCTAAACTGACCTGAGTTCTAACAGTGTTTGGTCTTGG